GTCTATATAACGCATCCTTTGACAGACAAAATTTCGCGCTAACGACTTTCATTTTCCTGGCCTGCCATTTATTCTTTGGGAGCTCACCTGTCATGATGTAGTGCTTTATTGGCTCCCTCCAGTCAGCCCCCCAGTCTTTAGCCGGAATTTGGTCAACCTTGTGAAATACTCGTGGCTCTGGTTCGGGATGCTCGTTTGGTTTAAGAACATCCTCCTCGGTTAACGGTTCGGTTTCTAATATTGTTTCTGGAATTGCATCTTCAGCTGAGGCAACGGGTTCCTTGTTAGATGTATTTGATCCCCTTGACTTCCTCCGTTTGTTGGGTGGCGGTTCGATCTCTGGTTCGCCAAGGTCGTGTGCCGCCGCTCGAGACCTTGTAATGACGAGGGTTTCTTTGTTGTCTTGAATGCTTCCACTGGAATAACTCTTTTCAACTCAGGATCTGATGTTGACGCCAATGCGGCAAGCGCATTCGCAGTTGTATTCTCTCCTCGAGGTATGCGGATTAATTCAAATTTCGAGAAATTTTTAGATAAATCCTTTACCACTTCGAGGTACGCTTCCATTCTTGAATCTTTGGCTTCATAGTCTCCATTAAATTGGTTAACTACTAATTGCGAATCGCAATAAGCCAATATTTCCTTAGCTCCAACTCCTTGTGCTAATCGAAGTCCGGCAATCAGGGCTTCGTATTCTGCCTCGTTGTTGGAGGCATTGAATAACAACCGGAATGATTGTTCTAGAATTTCTGACGTCGGAGACTCCAACTTGATTCCCACTCCGGATCCTTGTTTTGTTGAAGACCCATCTACGTGTAATTTCCAAGTTTGGTTCTCCGGTTGTTCTATCGTTCCAGGTATTGGTAGTTCGGTCAGGAAATCTGCTAAGACCTGAGCCTTCATACTGATCCGGCTTTTGAATTCTATGTCGTACTCGCTTAATTCCACCGCCCATTTCGCCAATCGTCCGGACTGGCTTGGACTATGAAGTATTGTTCGGAGTGGCTGGTTGGTTAATACCTCAACCGAATGGGATTGAAAGTACGGTCGTAGCTTTCGAGCCGATATCACCATTGCGAGTGCGAGTTTTTCCATCATTGTGTATCTGGTTTCTGGATCCGTCATTGACTTGCTCACATAGTAAATTGGTTTCTGCTCCCCACGGTCTTCCCGAACCAAGACTCCACTAACTGCATGGTTCGAAACCGACACGTACAAATAAAGTTTTTCATCCACTTCTGGTTTGGACAATATAGGCGGAGTGGTTAAGTATGCTTTAAGCTGCCTAAAAGCTTTTTCACACTTCTCGTCCCAAAGGAATCCTTTGTTCCCTTTTAGAATTTGGTAGAAAGGCAACGACTTATCTGTTGATCTCGAGATAAAACGATTCAGAGCCGCAATCCGCCCAGTCAACCGTTGTACTTCTTTGAAGTTTCTTGGAGAGGGCATGTTTAGAAAGGCGTTGATTTGATTTGGATTGGCTTCGATTCCTTTTTCTGTCACGATATAACCAAGAAATTCTCCGGATGGGACTCCAAATGTACACTTCGCCGGGTTCAGCTTCATTTGATATTCATTGAGAATATCAAAACATTCCTCTAAATGCTTAACGTGATCCTCTTTCTTTAACGACTTAACCAACATATCATCTATGTAGACTTCCATTGTTTTCCCGAGATGATTATGGAACATCTTGTTAACCAACCGTTGGTAAGTTGCTCCTGCATTTTTCAAACCGAAAGGCATTTCCTTGTAACAATAGATACCTCTATCAGTAATGAATGACGTCTTTTCTTGATCTTCGGGGTTCATCATTATTTGATTATAACCCGAAAAGGCGTCCATGAATGTTAACAACTCGTTCCCAGCGGTGGACTCTACAAGTCGATCTATATGTGGAAGCGGGAAACTATCTTTGGGACATGCTTTATTTAGGTCTGTGAAATCGATGCAAACCCTATCTTTCCCGTTCTTCTTTTTGACGACGACAGTGTTTGCTATCCATTCCGGGTATTGCACTTTTCTTATGGATCCTATCTTCAAAAGTTTATCTACTTCGTCATTTACTATTTTGGCTCGCTCCACTCCGAGCTTTCTTCTTTTCTGTTTTACCGGCTTGAAGCTCGGATCTACGTTTAGCTCGTGACAAATTATACTTGGATCTATACCAGGCATGTCTGCTGCTGACCATGCAAACGATGTTTTGTTTCTCTTTAAAAGTTCGATTAAAGCTTCTTTTATTTGGCCAGTCAGAGTTGCTCCAATTCGGATTTTCCGGTCCGGCTTGTCTTCTTCCAACACCACTTCGATTACGACATCATCTTTCTTCTGCCCGCTAGGAAATTTTGTTCTTAGTCCCTCTTTTACGGGCTTCGTTAGTTGCTATTGAATCTTCATACGGTGGCTAGCTAGGTAACACGTCCGTGAAGCTTCCTGATCTCCCCGAATTGTTTCCACCCCATTTGATGTTGGAAATTTGATACATTGATGGTATGTAGAAGGGACTGCTTTCATTCGATAAATCCAGGGAGTCCCAAGGATGATGTTGTAAGCTGCGGGTTTATCAAAGACAACGAAGTCCACGATCTTCGATACCTTCTTGGCAAGGACCGGTAGCTTGATTGTTCCGAGAGACATGGCTGACTCGCTTGTGAACGCAACTAATGGAGATGGGGGTCCTACTATGTCTCCTCGGCTGATTCCCATTCTTTCTAGAGTACTTAAAAAGATCAAATCGACCGAACTGCCTGTATCTATAAGGATCCTTGATACTTCGAAGTTAGCCACGTCAAGGGTAATGACTAGAGCATCATCATGCGGCCTTTCGAGGTACCGCGTTTCTTCTTCATTAAATGATATTGATGTACCTTGAAAATCGACTTCTTCGCTTAAGCTTGCTTTGAGTAGGTTATTTCGTCTATGTTTCTTGATGGAACTTATCGAATCTCCGCAAAACTTGGAACCTCCTAGAATCACATTGATCTTACCCTTCGAACTCCTTGGTTCTTCCTCGTTGGATAACCTTGGTCTTTTGGAATCTTGATCTTTGGAGTTTTCCTTCGCTTCGTGGTATTCCTTCACAAAATCTTTTATATTGAATTTGGAAAGATCTCCACTGGCCCAAAGCTCTGCGAGGTGCTTTTTAAGAACGCTGCAATCCTTGGTTAAATGCCCGGTTACTTTATGAATATCGCAATATAGACTTTCATCACGGACCCAAGTGTTTGATCTTCCTTTCCCTTGGAATTGCTTTCCGACGGTACTGTTGAAGGGTTGCGACCCAAATTTCCTTGGTCCTTTGCTCTCCCTAGACTCGAACTTCTTGGTAGGGGCGGTGATTGCCGGCTTTTCTTGTTTATTCCTTTTGGCAAAACTTTCTTTTTCGTCCTCTACCTCCATCCAGTTATTTGTGCGGAATAGTGCATCCTGAATTGTGTCTGGTTTATGAAGTATTAAGTCTTCTTTAAACCTTGAATCATGTCGCAATCCTTTTCGTAGGGCAGATAAAGCTGATTGCTGCGAGATTCTTGGGAGCTTTGATAGCACTCCTTTGAATTTGGTGATAAAAACTCGAAGTGACTCATTAGATCCTTGCGATAAGTTCCAAAGATCGGCATCCGAAACGCTTTTATCCATAAGGATGGAGTATTGCTTTAAGAATACGGCCGATAGTTCGTCGAAATTGCTGATCGAACCCGGCTCTAATTGGGTAAACCACATTAGAGCTTGGCCACATAGATTCTCCGAAAAAAGCTTGCAGTAGCCTGCGTCCTCATCAGCTTCATCCAACTCGACTCTTCCAGCAGCGATCAGAAAAGCTGCGAGATAGCTTTTTGGATCCTCCAATCCGCTGTAAGGGTCCAACTTGAGTTTCCGGGAATCTTTGATCCTCAAACTTGCAATTCGCGAGATGAAAGGTGTTCGCCTAGCCTCTTCAATGACTCGATTGATGTCTGGCTCCGAACTTGTAGCTTGATGAAATTTTGATTTCATTTCTTTTAATTCCTGGCTAACCTTCCTCATGGTCTCAAACTGGTCGAGGTTCTCCTGCTCGTATTGAGCTGCAAGTTGTTCTTCATCTCCGAGCTGTGTCTCTTCTTCCAACGTCTGAGCCACGTTATTAGTAGCACCAGGAGTTGTTTGTCCGCTGGTTTCATTTCGTGCAGCGGAACTTGGCGAGTTGAATATCCCTCTTCGGATTCCCACAAGGTTTCCTGCACTTAAAGAGCGAACACGAGTTTGTATAGTATTGACGTTTTGACTAAGAGATACCTGGGATGTTTGCAACGTATCGACGGCTTTTTCCACATCCGAAAACTTTTGTGATATGTCCGACATGGTTTGCTGCATAGCTTTGAGGGTTTCAGCCAATGATGTCTCAACGGTGTCTCCTCCGGACATTGTTGCTTATCTCGGAAGTGCGATAAAGGAAAAATCTGACCACTCAAGAATCCTAATCTGTCCCCACAGACGGCGCCAAAATGTGGATGTCGGATTCACACACTCAAGTATTTTATTAGGTAGGAAAGATTATTCTTGAGGGACAAAATGAATACGTAAAAGTTTGTAAATTGCTGCGGAAATTGCTATAGTATTTCTTTCTTGAGAGGAAGATCCCCCTTACATGGCCATTGGCCTTTATATTTATACTTAGAGAAACGACATTAAAATGAGTAATTAAGTACAATTATTCCTTCTTAAATGTGTCCGTTTTGATTCCTTGACTTTAATGCTCAACGTTTGAATTTGAGTTGACTCTGATCTTCGTGGGCCTCGCCTTTTCGGCCCAAGTGTCCTTGAACCATCTTATCCATGCCTTCTACATCGAACTCATATCACAATGCAATCACTTCGCATTCTCGAAGTGGTGACAACCACTTCGACCTTTCCTTCGACTCATGGGTCTGATGGGCTTCATTCTTTATGGTCCATTATCTTGACTACGTGGCAATCTTTGGTTGGTCTCGTACTTCTGGTGCGGGATCCGACACCAACATAACCCTTCTTCTCTACCACTCTCTTGTTGATTACCTGAAGCCTCTTGTTGCACATTGTTATCACTTTCTTGAACTTCACTAGTCCTCTCATTTGGTTCTTTTGGTATAGCTTCTCTATCTTCTTGAGGAGAGCCCACATTACCCAAATGCTCAAGAATATGTCGAAGACTCTTTGCTCTATCCGAAGTCGAATTTGGTAAGTCCTTTACACCTTCCCAATTCTTCTCCCCAAAATAAGCCTCTTCTTCCATAAACTTGACATCCCTAGATACATAGTATCTATTTGTGACCGGATCAAAACACTTGTAGCCTCTTTCAGTCGTAGAGTATCCTATGAATACGCATTTAGTACTCTTGGGCTCTAGCTTGTTCCTTAAGTCACCTGGGACAAACACAAAGCAAACACTTCCAAATACCCTTAAATGATCTATGTTAGGACTTTGTTTATTTAAAACTTGGAAAGGAGATTGATCATTAAGGATACAGGTTGGTATTCGGTTTATGAGATAGCATGCCGTCATAACCGCATCTCCCCAAAACTGTTTTGGCATGTGCTTGTGGAACAACATGGCTCTTGACACCTCCATTAGATGCCTATTTTTCCTCTCGGCAACACCATTTTGTTGAGGGTTATAAGGGCAACTCGTTTGGTGTAGAATTCCGCATTTTTCCAAGTGTGCTTTGAGCTTAGTGCTTGTGTATTCGCCTCCGTTATCTGTTCTAAGAATCTTTATCTTGGCATCAAAATGATTAGTCACATAATTTTGGAAGTTTATGAATGCATCATAAACTCTATCCTTAGATGGAAGCAAAGTTACCCAAGTATACTTAGATTTCTCATCTATGAATGTAACAAAATACTTATGATTATCTCTAGATGCACAAGGTGAGGTCCAAACATCCGAATGCACTAAGTCAAAGCACTTCTCATAGATAGTATTCGATTTAGGAAATACTACTTTACAATGTTTACCTAAAATGCATGCTTCACACTTTGCACAATCATAAGAAAATCCGGGTAAAAGCAAATTTAAAGCTCTAGAATGAGGATGGCCAAGCCTATTGTGCCACATCACAACGGAAGATTGAACATTGTTTGCAAAAATTGAAGAAGCAACATTATTAGAGATAGAGTTAAGAGAGGTGTCTTCAAGCATGTAGAGATCATCTTTAGTACCTCCTTGTCCAAACACATTACCACTCTTAATATCCTGCAATTTTACATCGTTAGGACTAAAGATGGCAAGGCAATTCAAATCTCTAGTAGTCTTCTTAACCGAGAGAAAATTTGAAGTAAATTTGGGCATATAAAACGCACTAGACTTCTTATTGAACAAGTTTATGCACCCTACTCCTTCTATTGGAACATTGTGACCATTTGCAACTTTAACACTCCCTAAGGCCGGTTTGATGTTCTCTAGCAACCTAGGATTACTTATCATATGATGAGAAGCTCCTGAATCTAACACTAATGAATTTAAATCACGAGAGTTAGAGGTAAAGAGAGAGATACCGCCGGGGTGTATCTTAGATGCAATGGATTGAAGAAGAGCTTTGAGATCCGCCTTGTTCATCACAATGGTTTCTTGAGAAGTAGAGCCGACACCTCCTTTGTTTTGAGCTGAGGCTTGCATCGCCTTCTCTTGATGACCATATTGCACAATGGCCCTCTCTTCATTCTCTAATCCTCCATCACTTGTGTTCGCAATGTTGGCTTTAGTCTTTTTGAACTTATCTGGCTTCAAGTGAGGGTGTAAGATCCAACATTTGTCTTTAAGATGACCTTTCTTCTTACAATGGTCACAGATCCAAGTCGTCCTGTCATCTTGTTTCACCACCCCAACCTTATTAGCCATTGGAAGATTCTCCCCCTTAGTACCGAATAGGCCTTGCGAGCCAAACTCTTTTTGTATCTTCGCACACACTTGTTCCAAAGTAGGCACCTTGTCGTCTCTCAAGATGTGTTGTATCACATCTTTGTAGCTCGAGTTAAGTGTCATCATTAGCCCAAACACAAGGTCTTGCTCCCTACGATCCTCAAGAACCTTTGCTTCGGTAGTGAACGGCCTTAGCATCTCTAGCTCCGCCACTAGAGACCGATACTTCCCAAAATGAGTGTTAAAGTCGTTTTCATCTTGGCTTAAACTTCCAAGAGCCTTCTTGAGTTCATACACTCGAGTCAAGTTAGACTCATTACCAAACACACTCGCAAGAGTGTCCCAAAGCTCTTTTGCTGTTTCACAATAAGAGTATCCTTCCAAGAGTGAGGTCTCGAGAGAGCAATGCAAGGTGCTAAGCACATTCAAGTCTTCTTGTGTCCAATCATCCTTGTCTAGAGTCTCATCCAACGCTTTCACCTCCTCATAAGTAAACTCTATGTGTTTCGTGAGCTTCCTTCCACCGAGAACATTCGTAGTTGTTCTCTTCCACAAGAGATAGTTGTTTCCATTCAAAACAACTGCAAACTTCAAATCCTTGAATACATCTTTTGTCTTTGGAACTGTGAGAGCCATTCTACTCTTCTAACCCAAAGATTTCTTAAGAAATATCCAACCTTTAGCTTTCTATGACTAATCGTAACACCCCACAAGAGTAAAAGACTGATTTTGAACCGTTTACAACCCACACACTACTCGAATCTTATACTAACTCCCTTAACTCGCCGGATCTTCAAGTATCAGGATAAAGTTCTGACCTTTAGATGAGAAACCAACCTAGATAGACTGAACCACCTTCGAGAAGCTTCAAAGACGACCCAAATCTCTTCACCGGAAGTACACACCCAAGATTCTCGAAGAACTTAACCTCGTTGAAGCATAATCCGAGAGATAACCACACAAGAGTAGTAAAGCTTCAAGCTTTAGACTTTTAAATGAGACTGAATGTCTTTTGAGAGAAAACGAACCAGAAAGAAAGAGAAATCGAAACAGAAAGATTTAGAGAAGAAAGATTTAAGAATCAAGATCACGCTCTGATACCATGTAAAGATTTAAGTTGGAAATGTTGAGAAAACCATGATTGAAGATTGAGAGAAAGAGATAATGTATTGATGAGAAAAGTTTTGTTACTTTAAAAACATTACAATGGTGGCTACAACCTTTATATATAAAGGAGATTAGGTTAAAATGACCTAGAGGAAACCACCGGGTCTCAGCCAGGCGGGTGTCTCAGACAGGCGGGTTTATACTTGTCCCTGCCAGTTTGGATCTCTTTGCCTAGCCAGGCGGGTGTCTCAGCCTGGCGGTTTCTCAATATAAGTAACTTGTGTTAAATATCTAACTATTGATTTAGTTAGTATTAAACACCTTCTTGATTAACAACCGGAACTTCCAATTCCTCATCGTCTTCCTCATTCTTCTTCAATTTCTTTCATCCTTCTCCCGATATGGTTGATCCGGTTCCAGTAATTGGGTATAAAAACACAAATACGTATTTAACACGAATGAAAGAGGGTGTAGAGTTGTGCACATAGATGCGAAAACAACGCACGAAAAACTTGTGAAGTTGGTGCTCGATGATAAAGTTAGAGGAAATGTTGCGTCTCTTATTGTTTCGCTGCAAATTTACATGTCACGGCTGAGTTATATGCTTAAGGGAAGACGAAAGGTTCGGTCAATTTACATGTCACGACTGAGTTATATGTTCCAGGGAAGACGAAAGGTTCGGTAAAATTACATTACGGCTGAGTTATATGCTTAAGGAAAGACGAAAAGTTCGGTCAATTTACATGTCACAGCTGAGTTATATGTTCCAGGGAAGACGAAAGGTTCGGTAAAATTACATTACGGCTGAGTTATATGTTTAAGGGAAGACGAAAGGTTTGGTAAATTTACATGTCACGGCTGAGTTATATTCTCCAGGGAAGACGATAGATGGGTGTAAATTATATGTTACGGGTGAGTTATATGCTTCAGGGAAGACGAAAGGTTCGGTAAATTACATGTCACGGCTGAGTTATCATTCACGGAAGACGAAAGGTTGTGTAAATTATATGTTACGGCTGAGTTACATCACGTTACGGCTGAGTTACATCACTTTACGGCTGATTTATAATATAGATCGGAAAGCAACATTTTTTTGGAGAAGACAATATGAAATTTATTGGTCAAATAACAACAATCAAATTAAGATTCGTAAAAATATGTTCGAGGGATACATAGGAGGAAGACTAAACCGTATGAATCAAAACATAGATAGAAGTAGAAATGTCTCCAAATAGATCGATTGAGAGGAAGATTAAACGAGAGACATGTAAAATCAAAGTAAAAGAGTAGCTATTCTTGATTTCAACTCAAACCTGTAACGAATCATGTAGAATTTCATAGATCTCTTTGTTTTGGGTTTTGATTTTTGATGACTTTTTCGTGAGCGTGGTTGCGAGTAGATCTGACGAAGCTTTTGATTTGGGACCCTATGGCAAGCGTTGTGGCTGTGAGGTCTAGGAAGATCCAGCCCAATCCTGCAATTTGAAGATCTCTGTCAATGTTGTACCCAAGTTAGTTGCAGATTATTAGATCTAAAAGCTTTTCTTGGATTTGGAGACAAAAAAAAAGAGAAGAGGAGAAATGATCTAAAAGCTTTTCTTGGATTTGGAGACAAAAAAAGATAAGAGGAGAAATAACGTGAGTTTGAGGAGTGTGAGATTGGTGATGTGGATTAATGACATGGATAATCAAATTTTTATTTATTATTTTTAATTAAAAACGAATTAAAAATCATTACTTAAAAAAAACTAATGAAGGGTGTTAATTGTAATTACACAAATGCTCAAAACATATGAGTAATTTTTAGAAAATGTATGATATTCTAGTAATATTCGAACTTTTGGTTAACATCTGAGTAAATATTTCTATATTTTTTTACTAAAATTTACCCAGATTGACTCAAAACTTTGCAAAAATAACTAGATTGACTCTCAATGGCAATGAAGAACTAGAATAACTCAAATTTTGTGTAAAAAGACTATTTAACCTCAATCTAGATTTCTCCAACAATTTCTTTTACCAAAAAAGCTTTTTACGAATTCAGAAAAAAAACAGAATAATTAAAAAAATCATAAAACCAAACCAAACATTAACTCAATTTAGGGTTTAATTGTTTTTCCCCTTTTCACAGACTTGAGTCTGTTTCTCTTCTCCTTCGTCGATTTTGAGTGGAAACCCTAGCAATCTCTCCTTCAATCCGCCGCTCCTGCAAACTACGGTGAGTATTCCGTCTGTGTTGATTTCGTGTCGATATGCTAGCCTCTGTGGGTAATCGTTTCTGACTTTTTCTCCCTTTTCTCTCTTCTCCGGTGGTGATAGATCTGCG